CGTGGGTGTTCGTGGCCGGGGCCCCCCAGTTCCCCCGGCACCTCCTGGAGATGCTGCTCATCGACCACGGCCACCTCCACGTGGAGCCCCGCGCCGGCGAGCAGGAGCTGCTCATCGCCCAGCGCATGGCCGTGTAAGATGCAACCCTCAGGTCTCTCTGCCCCGACCCATCTCCTCCCGCGCGCTGCCGCCCCCGCAGCCGTTTCAACGCGAGATACGAGCACGGTTTCAGACTGGTTTTCCCAAGGAGAGAGCCTCTCCTGGCTGCTCTGTGCATGCTCTCCTGTCCCTTCTCTTTCTCACCCCTTCTTTTATTTATTTATTTCAACAGCCCCCAGGTTTAGGCAAATTTTGCAGGGCGCAGAGGTCTTGCAGGTACCAACCCCTGCAGGCGTGGAGGACGCAGGCAAGGAGAAGACCTTTCCAGAGGAGAAGACCTTTCCAGAGGTCCCTGCACTGCAGCTGCTAACCCTGCCAGGCACCGAAAGCTGTTTCCCCCCGAAAGGGTCAGACTTCAAGGGGATGAAGTTTTCTGGGCCAACGCAGGCAGCTCTTTGCAATTTCACTTATTTTGGGGTGGAAAACGTCTCGGTACCAAGGAGTGCTTGAGCTGGGCAGGGCAAGGCTGAGACCACGAGCTGCAGGTGAAGGTCATAGAATCATTATTAAGGTTGGAAAAGACCTCTAAGATCATCGAGTCCAACCATCAACCCAACACCCCCATGCCCACTAAACCTCAGCGCCTCATCTACCCGTCTTTTAAATACCTCCAGGGATGGGGACTCCACCACTCCCCTGGGCAGCCTGTTCCAATGTTTAACTACTCTTTCAGTAAAGAAATTTTTCCTCACGTCCAATCTAAACCTTCCCTGGCGCAACTTGAGGCCGTTTCCTCTCGTCCTTTCGCCAGTTACTTGGGAGAAGAGACCGACCCCCACCTCGCTACAACCTCCTTTCAGGTAGTTGTAGAGAGCGATGAGGTCTCCCCTCAGCCTCCTTTTCTCCAGGCTAAACAACCCCAGCTCCCTCAGCCGCTCCTCATCAGACTTGTTCTCCAGACCCTTCACCAGCCTCGTTGCCCTTCTCTGGACACATTCCAACATCTCAACATCCTTCTTGTAGTGAGGGGCCCAGAACTGAACACAGTATTCGAGGTGCGGCCGCACCAGTGCTGAGTACAGGGGCACTATCACTTCCCTGCTCCTGCTGGCCACACTATTTCTGATACAGGCCAGGATGCCGTTGGCCTTCTTGGCCGCCTGGGCACACTGCCGGCTCATGTTCAGCCGGCTGTCGACCAACACCCCCAGGTCCTTTTCCGCCAGGCAGCTTTCCAGCCACTCTTCCCCAAGCCTGTAGCGCTGCATGGGGTTGTTGTGGCCGAAGTGCAGGACCCGGCACTTGGCCTTGTTGAATCTCACACAGTTGGCCTTGGCCCATCGATCCAGCCTGTCCAGGTCCCTCTGCAGAGCCTTCCTACCCTCCAGCAGATCAACACTGCCGCCCAACTTGGTGTCATCTGCAAACTGACTGAGGGTGCACTCGATCCCCTCGTCCAGATCATTGATAAAGATATTGAACAAAATCAGATAAGGTCAGACAAATGCATGGGAGAAATGGCTTATTTTTCACAGTGAGAGCAGTTAACTCTGCGGAGGAGCTGGCACAGCCGGGTTCCCATCCCACGGCTTAGGGGCACGTGCCCCGTGGGGGGCCGGGGCCAGGTCCAGTCCTTTCCAGCCTGCGGAGGGGGAGTCTTCGCTCTCCTTCCCCACCTCGCTCCCTTCCCCTCTCTCTCTCCAGGGGGGACCAATGTCTCACTAACAACTCCACCTACTTCGAAATCGACGCCAGTAACACCACGCTGGTGAAGCACGGTGAGCGGCGCCGGCGGGCGCAGCCTTCGGGGTTATCACCCAGTCCGTTTTTCGGAAGGCCTGAGACACGCAAAGGGCCCGGCCCGAATCTTTACATCATCTGACACATTTTATTCCCGGGTCGCTTTGTCCGTTTGAAGCCTCGGTGGGCTCCAAACGGCTCCCCAGGGCCAGGGGCACCCTGGGTCTAAACCCCACAAAGCAATGCCGTGCCGGGAGCAAGGAGCAAACCTGCTCGCATGGCAAGGAAGGAGACCGCCTCGTCTGTAAAGTTATTTCGCAATCCCTGCGGGAGAGGAGGGGAACATTTATGGCAGGTTTCAGCTCTGAAATCATTTCCTCCTCACTGAGGAAAGGGGGTGAGCCATTTGGGGTGGGAATTGCAAACCCCAGAGCCGCAGTTTGCACTGACCCTGCCAAGACAGCATTGCTGCGAGCTGGGGACAGTTGATCCACATTTCTGCAGCTCCCCCTGCTCATACCCCGAGCACCAGCAAGCCACGCCACCCAGCACATTGCAACAGTAGGACAGGAGCTGGGTGCCTTTGGCTCCTTCACACCCCAGGCCCGCATTTGAGAAATGCAATTCAAATAAAGGGAGAGCCGAACAACCCGCACTGCGTCAGATCCCACGTTGCCCGGGCTGCTGTTTATCGCTGCTGCAGCGCTGAAAACCTGAATATCGTGGCTGTTCCCAACCCTGATTCTGTTCTCTCGAAGCCAAGACCCAGCAAACCATGGGGACGCTGATAAACCTCAGCTCTGAAGACGTTTTACTCATCCAATACCAACTGCAGAGGGAAAGGACGTATTTGGGACTGTATCTCTACGGTATGCAAACTCCATCCTAAAGTAACTTAAAGCTATCGTGGGACACCAAAACACGCACATAAAATTACCAGCTACAACCACACAGCAACTTGGTTTCGTCAACAGCCAATGATTTTCCTGAGACTGCCGCTCCAGCGGTCACGGGAGTATTTACAAATCCCATTAAAACCTAAATCTCTTGGCAGAGCGGAAAGACCAAGTTAAAGACAAAACCCACTTACGCCATAAATATTCAAAGAACAGGAAGCAAATACAATTCAGCATCAATATCATTGTAAAATCTCAGTATTTTCAAGCCAACCATGATTTTTCGGTACTTACCTCCCAGGGCAGAGCACGTGGCTTTGCAGTACCGGCACAGGCAAAGCCGATCAGATCTACCCACAACCCCATAAAGCAGCATTTTAGACCTTGATAAGGCTTCCCATTGCCCTTCCAGGCTGCAAAGCAGTTGCTTAAGAGAGTTTGAAGACGCGTACAGAAAACCGCCTCCATACTCACCCTTCGGTCCCTCCTGATGCCCCAGGAGCGCCAGACTATATTGCAATTCGTTAAAGCAGACAGGACCAGAGCTATCTAGGGAGAGGGTTAAAAAAAAAGCGATGCCCAAGGTTGGTTTTGTTCAGGTGTATTCACCACGGGGGCTGAGAGACCCCAGCAGAGACCACCTCCGCAGCGAGCGTTGCTGGGAGCGTGGGGAAGGGAGGCAGCAAGGGCAGGGACGCGGCACGAAGGGCCGTGCCAAGGCCGCCGGTCGGTGTTTAACACCTGGCAAATGCTCCTCCTTTTGCAGCCCGAAACCTGAGTGTGAGCACAGCCCACCGGGAAGAGTTCGAGCACCACGCCAAGTGCCTGGGGCTGAGCAAAGAGGAGATGGTGTACGCGCCGTGGAAAACGGTACGTGGCTGCTCACGGGTGGGCGAGGGTTGGCAGAGCCGCCGGGGCGAGGGTCGGCAGAGCCGCCACAGCCCCTCACCCCGGGCAGGGGTGCCAAGACCCCGGGCTGTAGCTCCACCTGCCAAACTGGGGTCTTGGAGAGATATTTTCAAGGTGGTGGAAATTATTTAGGAGACTAAGTAAAGGCAGACTTGCTTCGACAGTGACAGTGATTTAAAATAACACCCGCCAGCAGATACATGACTCCCCAAAGCAAATACCTGCACCTGAGCGTCTCCAGTGGAGATCATCAGTACATCCCCAGTAACTGCCTGCCTCCCCCTGCTAGCGGGGAGATAGCTAAAGCATGGGATTTTTGCCCTGAAATTCCTGATTTTGCCCCCCCCAGCAGAGGCCAGCCACCCCCAGGAGCTGCAGCAAGGGACAGGAGGGGCCGGTGCCCTGGGGCACTGCATGGCCCCACTTCAGCCGAAGCCACAGCAATTTAAATGGGGTTGTTTTCTGGCACCCCGAGGTGCCACGTGATGAGGGGGTTCACAGCCTGGCTGGCTGTAAACGGGGTTCAGGAAGATTGCGCAAGCCAGTCCTCCTCCCACCCCAGCACGGGGGTGTCCAGCACAGAGGCTCCTTTTGGGCTGGGGTCCGGCCCTATGGGACATCAGGAACGAGGCAACCATCCACTCCCACAAAAACAGACTTTTTCCTTTAGTTTTTCCGTCAAAACATTAACCAGACCCAGCCCTAGCCTTAACCTCTGCCACCTGATTTAGGACGTTTTATCCTGCAAATGACCCAGTCCCCAAGCCAGGTTGATGGGGCTCCCTTTTGCAAAGCAGGGGGTGAAAAAATATCTTACCTTTTCCTGTCCCATCCATCCATTCCTGTCCTGGCCATCTGCTCATCCACGGCAGGAGACTGAGCTTCCAGAGGCGCCCAAAACCCAGCTCTGAGCTGCCAGACTGGACCCAATGTAGCCCCCAACACCCCCCAGCCTCAACATGCTTCTTTTAGAAATATCCCCCACAGGTTGAGGGGAACTGGGGACGGGGACACAGGCACAGGTTGAAACCCTCATGGTGGGGCCGGGGCAGGCCCCCTCTCCCCATTAGGCAACAGGCAGCTCCTGGGAGGCAGGGCCCAGCTCCTCCAGATTAACAGCTGGATCACATTTAAATCTGGGCAAGACAAATTACATTTAGAGAAAGCCAAGGTGAGTGGAATAAGCCAGAACTGTTTGTCCTTACAAGCCCTGGTGCGATCGCTGTTAGCAGAGAAGGGTTTCGTGCCCAGCCAAAAGGCAGGACACCATGTCTGAGGAGTAAAATGAAACCGATTAAACAAATGCAGAACAAATTTTGGGGACCTTTGTCATCAGGCTGAGAGAGATGGGTGTGAACAGAGCACTGGTGCAGAGACTCGCGTACCCCTGCATCAGTCCGAGGCATTAGCAGAGCCTAAACCACGCTAACTCTGAGCACCTGGGTAGCACGAGCTTTTTATTTCTCAAAAAGATTGAATCCCCCTTTTATTCAGAGCACACTTACTGACCCGCCAGGGTAGCACAGCTTTGCTCCAGAAACCTGGTTTCCTCTTTACAGCACAGGCACCAGCAGCAGCTCAGCACCCAGAGAAGCAGCGTCTGTGATTGGGGCAGCGTGGGGAAGCCCCTGGCTTCTGTAGGCTGTCTTAGACTTATAATCGGATAAAAAGGAAAAGAAAAATACTACTTTCTTCAGTAAGTTCTCTCCTGCCGGTGCACCGGCGGTTTCATTTATCCCATCGTTGTTGTTTTGGAAGGAGCTGTGTCAAGTGAAAGAAATCGAAAAAGGGAACAACCCACGCACGGAGCCTGTGGCTGCAGTCACAGCATCACCTCCTCCGGGTACCCACCAGCCTGGGAGCACGGGTAACTGATGCCACGCTAGGCAATAAATATTTTCCTCAAGTTCAATGCGTTTTGTTGCTGAGACGCTGGAGAGCAGGGGTTCTGAAGAGGTCAGAAGCAGGGCTTGCAAAAAGACATTGAGCACCCGATTCACCTTGTGTGTCATTCAGCTGGGAGCTGGGAAGAGTCAACCTGGAGCAATGAGGCATGTCAGACAAGGTAACGCACGGAAGGTTTTCCAGCACTGACTCAGTCCGCTCAGCTTCACACCAAGCTTGCGAGAGAGCTCTACTAAAAAAGCAGTACTTAAATGAAGCAGTAATACAGGCTAACCAGAAGAGGGCAATCATTAGCTATTTTAAATGAGTGTGCCAAGCATTTGATGAGTAACTGGACTATACAGGCAGCTAGAAACTTTTCTTTAACTGTACAGTCTCAGAGGAAGAGGGTGCTTAGCTAGAAGCAACCACCCAATTCTCTTGACAGCAGCTTGACTGCCCAAGTAGCCCAGCTGGGGCAAATGTTCCTGCCCAAACCCTTTGGACTGGGCAAGAGCTTCCCGATAACGTTCATCCACAGCAAGGTTTGCAACATAATATGACAACACTGAAAAATTATCCTCTTGCCAGAGAGGGAGGGGGTGCTAACCCAACCCAGGCTGGATTTTTACTTTTTTTTTTACATTGCTCTCCGTGCCTCCGGAACACCCCTGCACTCATCAGGCACCTCACGCATCCCTTGTCACACCCCCAGCCCCAAAGGGAGGAAAGCACTGTCACTCTGTGTTTGTGAAAGTGGGGGGAGCTGAAAAAGAGACTGCTTTTGCTGCGTGTCTGCAAAGTAGTTCAGTCTCAGCTCCAACCTAGTAATTAAGCACTGAAAATCTCTTTCTTCCTTAAAAAGGAAGGAAAGGAGAAAAGCTGGAGGGAACACAGCGAAGAAGAGCGCCCTGCTCCTCCCCCTGCAGCACCGGGGTGCCCTGTCCCTGTCCGGCACCGTTTACTGGGCAGCGTTTCAGTGTTGAGTCTTTGGCCCGCTTCCAGTAGTAAAAATGAATTTTACAAGGTCAAGTACAGCCAATTCCCTCCTGGTCTCAGGGCACAGGTACCTGGCCAGCCCTTGCTTCAGACACATCTTTTATCAGCTTGTGACACGAAACATAACCCCCCACCTCGAGGAGCGAGACAGTTAAAGGGGTAGGAGAGGGCAGCGTGCGAGAGGGGATGCTGCCAGCAGCCTTCAGTGCTGCAGTCCAGAGAGCATCGATAAGCATCTCAGCTGACACCGCTGGAAAGCAGTGGCTCAGATTACAAGGACCCAGACCTTATGAGTAGATTTATAGCTGAATAAAAGCCCTGAATTACAGTCAGCGACATAAGGAACCAACAAACTCAGTCTGGCCCCCACGGCAAGTTTTGTTAACCCAATCAGAGGCCACTTGCCCTACCAGCTATGGTTCCTGAATGACCTTCAAGGATAGCTCCTGGTTGGTTTTTTTTATTTGTTGAAGAAAAAATTGTGCAAAGGCTTCCTTTTGAAAACCCTATAAGCCAAGTTCCTTCAAGGGCATAATTGGACTGCAGAGTTTGCAGCTTTTCTGGGAAACACTTCTCTGAACAGAGAGTTAAGGATACTGCACAGATGAGCGAAGTCCAGCAACGCTCAGAGATAGGTTAACAGCATCTGAACATCCCTGACTCATCACTACCATCATTAGCCTTGATCTCAGGTTTGCTGGTTTTGCCTTTAAGAATTCTGTTCTCCCAGGTCCTTGTAGGGAGGATCCTTCCCAGTGCCAGTGTCCTTGGTGAGAATCATCCCGGGAAGAGTCTGGCCACAAACAGCACCAATAAACCATATTGAGAAAGAGATGCAGACACATGGTATCTCTTTGACAGACCTTTATTAGCAGACTGTTCCCTACATGAAGAATCCGAGTTAGATTTGCATTATAACAATTTGTGGTTACAGCTACAAAGATGGTTGTCATTTTGCATTGATTTTTGCATTCTGATATTCATATTCCCATTAGGCCACACTGGTAGGAAGGAGCCACTGCAGAATTTGACAGGTCTCAAGATGGGGGGGGTGGAAAAAATCATATCACTAATCCCGATTGGTTAGATTTCCACGTGGCTAACTACCGACAGCACTGGATAGTCAAGGCAGAGCCTCACCCGGAAGACTCTCCGCAAACCACCAAAATCTGTCAGCAAAAAAGCAGCTGCTGAGTGCTAGCAAATCCTTTCCCAGTTTCTCACACACTTCTCCACAGTGCCCGTTTGCATGTGAAGAGCACTGGCTCAGCAGCAGGGTCTGCTGATTCAGCCTCAAAGCACAACTGCAGCAGCTTGTGTCCGAGTGCAAGTTTCCTTCCATCTCTCTGGAAACTTGTATTTCCTTTAGTCCCTGAGATTTCTCCCCTCCCCCCTTACCTAAAAATTCCCCAAGATCGCTCTCAATTAGCCGTTGTGACATCCAACATACACAGACCTTCTACTTCCCAACTTCAGCCATCCACCTGAAAGCCTTTCAGCCATGCACAGAGGCAATTCCAAAATAAGGCGAGCCTCACGGTGCACCCTCTCCCCTCCTCCCAAGGTACTGCTTCCTCACCAGCTCCCTTCTCTCCTATGGCTTCTTGCTACAGAATTTCTCTGGGCTGAGGTCCTCCAGCATCAACCCCAGATGTGGGAAAGGCAGCTCAAGCCCCAAAGGGAAGGTATGCAAGCGACTTTAGCATCCCTCCCCACGACTCAGCTGTGTGATGTAAGAAGAACAAATAGAGAACTTTTTAAAACAGGAGAAATACAAGCACAGTAACAATATTTAAACAAGTCTATAAAAATAGTCCGACATAACTCTGTTCAAATAAATACAAAATAAATATGCTTTAAGCAGTAAAACAGTGGAATGCAACGCTGGTCCATTTTGCCCAAAATGAAAAGTTCAACGAGGATCTCCCAGGCCTCAGAAGCCAGATCCTATCAACTAAAGTAGCCCATAACGCAGTCAGA